ATATTTTGTTCATCAATTAAAAGTAGATATTTGATTTTTCTTTCTTTCGATTATTTAGAAATTTTTATTTTATTCTTAGTTTCAATTTTTATGTTTTAATATTATTCAAATAATACATTTATTTTAAAAATTCTGTACATTGATATTCAATAATTAATTAAGCGCTTAAAAATTCTGTACATTGATATTCAATACTTAATTATTAATAATTAATAAAGCGCTGCTACAATTATTCACAAATATATACTTTTAAGGAATAAGAAGAATTTGGAAAATCATGAAAACTTTCAACAGTCATATCCTCGGTATACAGATATTTTGTCTTACAACAAAAATATTCAATTGTGTGTAATAAAATATGATTTTACTTCTAAAATACAGTAAGTGATTCTAAAAGTGTCAAAAGTATTTTGATGTTTTTATTTCTTTCATTTTAAACGTCTTCATCGGTTTGTAAGTGGCTTTATAAATCTTTGATGTTGAAACGTTCTAATCAGAGTGCATTCTATATTTATATTATAATACATACTTCTCGAATAATTTCTTAAAGTTTCTCACACTCGACCCAAGACACCCTGTACACTCGATATAATTTTGGACGCGTGACGTAGAATTTGGTCACGTCAATTTTCAAAGATATCCTCGTTAATCACTTGTATCGTATGCTTTCATGTTAGACCTTGTTGATAAAACACGGACAGAATCGAAGGAGGAAGGGTTGATTGCTAGTGTTCTTCGCAATTTTTTTGCCCTTCCTGTCCCTTTGCACAGCTTGGCCTCGTCGGTTTCTTGGTGCAAATCTGTCAACGCCATAATAGGATGCGAACCGCCATTTAAAATATCGTCAAATATATGGGCGTAATATGCAGATGTCTGCGTCACGAGAACACGATCGTTGTTGGGTTCGTTTCTTCCTTTTTGCCCGATACCGTGTTTATCTTGCGATATGGAAACACTGTACGAGCTTGGGTCTTGTATTTTTGCCTCACTCGATATAATTAACAAAAGAAAATAAATGAAAAAAATGTGTATGAAATTTGAAATTATTTATTTGAAGATTATTATTTCGGGAATTAAACAAATAATTTTATAGGTATAATGGGTTTTTCATTATTAATTCTGAAATTAGATTAGAATTTCTGGCTAATTAATTGTAAATACATACATATATATATATATATATATATAAACGCTATTATAAAAACAGAATATTTTCTAATAGTAAATGATTTTTCCATTATTACCAAATAATGTTTGGATATTAAGACATTTGAACAATGACTACTGTATTTACATATCATGTATTTTTAATGAAAATGCAAAAACACGAATACATGGAAATAAATTTAACGTAGTGTCAGACATTTCTTATATATTGATTCGTTTAAGAGATAGCCGCGTAAGAAAGAATACGTGAAAGTTTCTTAAATGTAATATAAAAAATAAATAAGGTAATGAGAATAATTTAAATGTATCAGATTCACATATAATTTTTAAAAATTTGTAACGACGATTAATTTATTGGAATAAAATTATTTTTTTTATCATAAACTTTTGCCATTTTAAAAATTAATTTACACTTAGAGAGTTGCGTAATTTCAGAAAGCTGTAAGGAGTAGATTAAATTTCCTTTATTTTTAATAACATTCGGTAGAGAAAGATTAATTTAGTAGAATAAATTTTCTCGAAAGTTCTATTAATTTAATTTAAAATTAATTTAAATATAAGTTTTCCTAAGTTCTAATTTTTTAGACATTAATTTTGAAACCATTTTACTAATGTAATTAACATTAAACAAAAACTTTTGAGAAATTTGTGCCTTAACTTAAAAATAAAAAAAATTTAATCTGAATTAAATAAATTATCTTTTACCGCTTCTTGTAAATATACAGCTATCTAATTTTTAATAAGAGTTTCGTCGTCGTAAAAAATTAGCCTTCGTTAGAACTTTTTAAAAGTTATATGTACATTCAAATTATTTTTGCCTTATTTATTTCTTATGAATATGACCTTCCTTGTGCATTTATGTTCTTATTTTGAATAATCGGCATAATATCAATTACCGTATCATATTTCTCTAAAATGCAATACGACAATCTGAACAATTGAAACAAACGCTCGTGTCGAACGTTACATTCCATTTCGAATTACGATTTATACGATGCCAAATCCCTCGATGATAGAGCAGAGAAATCTGCGGATCGGGCAAAGCGTTGATCACCAGTCACATTCGACGATAACTCAGAAGGCAGGGCAACACAATGCTGTTCTGTATGTTTTATGTATGAGAATAAGATTACTCGGGTACCACCCACTTATTAAGTGCTACTACGACCCATTTCTGATATACTGGATAAGAGACAATGTCGAATCGATCTCAAATCGATCAACTCGGTATACGATCTAAAGTGATAGCAAAGGAAATTTAGATAGTCGAGGAAATGTTTGTCAAAGTACAAGTTACAACAATTCAGTTGATATAAGGAAATAATCTTCAGAGATTTAAGACCACATACTCTGAACTAAACATCTAGGTTTCGTTTGACACATTTGTTTAAATTTTATTTGACTCTGTTATTTGATCGATTTGTTACTATTAATTCTATCGCTTGTTAACGGTTGTCATGTAGATTGTATAGATTGTAAATATTAAACAGTCAATCAAATTTCAATCAATTGATGCCTAACTCTACCGAATAGAATTAATGAACGTTTATGTACTTGATCTTGACAAATGCAATCGTTCATACGAGGGACAATTTTCTGTCAGAGAATGCAAAAGAACACCGTAACAACAAAAAGGTGATTTTTAAATTGGAATTTTAAAATCTTACGATGGTACAGCATTTTATTTAGAATTTCAGTTTATTTAGCACTCAATAATCACATTCGGTATCTGGGATTTATCCAAAAAATCCGATTACTCAGAATTATTTTAATTGCTTTTATCTACATTTATCTCAATTATTAATATTTTTCAATTGTATGAAATTACTTAATCTACTTTAATAAATAAAATAAAAAATAGTTTTTCTTTAAGAAAGATAAAAGATCTCATGTCTATATCCGTACTAGTTATTGATGACTGTGGGATCATAAAAACTCGTCGAAAAAGAAATTCTATAAATAATTGTTTATTGTTCTTGCAGTAAAAGGTGCACTACAACAATTCTTGAATTTTCGAGTTCGGTACAACGAATGTTCTCTTCGATGTTTCTTTTTTCTTATTGAGAATTTTGGAAAATCGTTGAGTTTGATCGCTCGATTTTTACTTTCTATTACCGATGACTGACAATGGGCCTTGTTTTATTTATATGAAAAGAGAGAATTAGAATTGCCAGTCTATAGTTTTTGGAAGTTGATGAAAAAGTGCAGTTAGCTCTAAATTATTTTCTTATTTTTGAAAATATCATAGAAATAATATATTAATTTTGGACATGTAGTCTGATGATATATGTAGATAATTCCATGTAAGATACATTTTGAAAGTGCAAGTGAAATATACATTTTAGTTCAACGTATAACTATAGTTATATACAAGGATTTACACGAACTCATATGTATCTCTTTTTAGACTGATGTTTAAAAAAGATAGTTACTATAAAAAGTAGTTACAAATTTTTTTCTAACTAGAAATGCTTATTTTCTTTATTTATGTCTATTATTTAGAATATAAATAGTATTCTAATATTTGGATATTCTAAATTGTTAAATTTAAAAATTACTAATTTAAAACTACTTGATAAAATATAACGAAAAAACTCTTGTGTTTATATTCTTTTTGACTTGCGTGCACTAAGTTACAAAATAATAATTTTAATAATTATTAAAATAATTACATAAATATTAAAATATCGAAATGCTAAAATGCTGAAAAATACTTTAATGCTTTTCTCATGCAAAATATTGCAAATATATTAAAAAAAAGTTCAGAAATGCAGGAATGTCTCTGTATGTTCAATTGTCCTTTGTCTCAGAACATTAAAATGTTTTAAAAAAATATGAATAATATAAAGAAAAGATTCAAGACAAAGAGCTGATCTGGACAATTTACAACTCTCAAGGCGCATACTATTTTCTCCCCTACTCTTACGAGCCCCACCATACTCATTTGACTACTCCTACAGTCTGAAGCCAAGAATCAAATTCAATACTTAATTAAATAAATTTTTTTAATTCGATGTTATAAATTTTATTTTATACTTTTACAATTATTATAAAAATGTATTGTTTAATTTATAAAGTTTGATTGATATTATGTATAATAGATTATGTATAATAGATTTAATGAAGTTTCAAAATGCATAATTAACGACTTTCTGTTGTATATTTTTATATTTTCGGTACATCGATAATTCATAACATAAGTAAAAAATAAAAAATTATTCGCGATACAAGAAAAAAATAATACCACGTTCAATTGGTAATATGATGAAAGAATTTGAAACCGAAACATCCAAATTTTACGGGGGCGAAACGAGAAAGACGATCAAAGTTCAAATTCTTCGAACTAACGTTGCCCAATATCAGTAAATTTTTGTTCATATGATTGATTCTTTGTAGAAAATATTTTTAGAAGAACATTTTCTATGGAGGATCCGTCATTTGAAGAAAGTCTATTGATTTACATGACACTTATATGATTGGATCATATTCGTAACTTTTTGACACAAATGAAAATCGAGATAAGCGATTGTAAAAAAAGGAATATCCATTGCCATCCACCTCCATTTTGCAAAAGTTCGAAGTAAAATGGACATTGTTTTTTTACAATCACTTACTTCGATTTTCGTTTGTGTCTTACCTGCAGTTTCGAATAATCAAATTTTTTTTCATTCTTCTCATTAAAAGGCGAACATCCAAATTTTATAGTTCCTTTATGAAGTCTTGCTCGATGGAGCATTGGTCTCCTATGACAAAAGAAAAGTATCTTAGTAGTAAAATAGAAATATTTTTGGTTTATTGCTATTATTACGAATGCATGTTTGTTGCAGTTATTCACCACTATTATGTATGACCTTCTCCCATCTTCCTGGCAGCTTATCAATTCCTTCCTTGTAAAATGTGATTGGTTTGGACTGGAAGAAACTTTCGACAGCCTTGACTGACTTGCTCTTCAAAATTGAAGGTTTTTCCATTCAAAAAGTTTTGCAAGGAACAGAAAAGGTGATAGTCTGTTGGAGAGTAAGGTGGGTGTTGTAAAACTGACCATCCAAGTTCAAGAATTTTTTCTTGAGTCGCCCTTGCTGTATGTGGTCACGCGTTGTCGTGTAAAAGAATGATGTTATGGCGATTGACGAATGCAGGACGCTTTTCATAGAGTTTTTCTTTCACTCTTTGCAGCTGCCGAACGTATGTATGTATTATACCTCGACAATTCCACCATACACACAATAAAATCTTTTTTCCATGGATGTTTGCTTTCGGATCTAGCAGGGATGGTTGATCCTTATCAAGCTACTGTCTTTTACGGATGATATTGTCATAGGTAACGTATTTTTCATCGTCTGTTATAATCCTGTCTAAAAAAGACTCGATTTTTACCTGTGATAACAGACTTGTAGCGATTGATATGCGATCTTCTTTATTCCGTTCACTGAGATTGTGAGGTACCCATACTCCTAACTTGCTGACTTTCCCTAATTTCTCTAGGTAGAGGCAAACAGTTGATTGTGATGTATTCAACCTTCCTGCTATATCTATTGTTGATTGACGTAGATTTTGCTCCAATATTGCCTTTAAAAGGTTGTCGTCAAGGTCGGAAGGACGTCCCGCCCTCGGTTCGTCCTTCAAAATCGTATCTCCAGAACGAAATTTGGCAAACCAATTTTTAACTGCCCGATCGCTTATTAGACCTTCACCGTATACACTGCACATTTTTTCAGCTGTTGCCTTAGCACTATTGCCTTGTTTAAATTTCTAAAGCATTACATGACGAATATGCATTTTTTCACTCCCCATTTTAGGGATCATAAACAACAGTTTAATGAAATGTGCACCACACAAAACAGTTGTCGGAAGACTGAACCCTTATCTATTTAGTAAAAGCAAAAACTCGTTTTGTCCAGGTGATTTATAGTGGGTAGATACGAACATAGATTCTACCTAGCTGTATCGGAAGTTATTTATGACTTGACCTAATATTATTTATAAAAATCATGTAAACAAAAAGCTAATGCTGTTTCGAAGGTATTCATGACCTTACGAATATTTAAATGATTGACGTTTGAATAATTCATCTGACATTTACCTCATTCTTAATATCCGTCTTCTTCTAGGTATAGAGACTTATGGAAGTCGTTTCTCGTCGAGGAACGAACGCGATGTACCTACTTTCAGGACTTTTGAATTAAAACAGTCGAATGACTGTTTAAAATTTGAACTATGACTATTTAAAATTTATTAAAATACCAGTAGAATGACAGTTTACGGCCAAACACGCGGAAAATTTTTCTCTAATCAAATTTTCTGTTTCGTGAAATAAAGGACAGTCTATTACTCTGTTAGATAAAGGCAACTGTTTCAGATTTTAATAGAATAGTTTTACACCAGTCATGGAAATTAATTCAGAATTATTGAAGTTATGTAAATCAAATGTAAATTATCTTGACAATTGTTACTGTAATTATTGATAAATGTAATATGTATTGATAAAAGTAATTATTGGAATAAGTATTTTACTTGTAATAATATATAATTACTTATAATACAGAAATAGAGAGAGAAGATACTGTTATTGGACAGAATTTTTAGTCAGAAGTAACCATTTTTATTGTTATTTATCGTGCATGAAATAATTAATTGATTTTCCTAAATAGAACGACTGTTGTAAAAATGTTCTTAAACAGAATTTACAGTTTCAGTTTCAATATTATTAGATTTCTTATTCTGTTCATCCCATAAATCTCTATCAAGCGACATAACTTGTTCATGTGCAAAAGATAAAGACGCTTAGTGAATAAAGAGCGTACAACGATCGAGATGTAAGAGTTAAAAATTATGCTTTTAAAGTATCTTTGCACAAATACTTCTCCGATCATGTTAGATTCTTTTTCGATTACCAAAATTTGTACACAAAGAAATTCACTGGAACAATCCTTAAATCTTCTCTCTGCTTCTCTTGCTTCTATTAAGAATATGTTCGAATTACTCAACTATTCCAATTTAATATTTGTTCTAACTATAGTAGTTTACTCTGTGTAAATTTTGTTCGTGTGTACACTTTACACATTTGTATAAAAATTCAAATCACGTGAAATAAAACACTTAAATATTTTGACTGCTATTGGTGATAGAAAAAAATACATCAAGTTCTCTAATATCATAAATTCTAAATATACAAATAAGTATCATATGTGATATAATTGAACAGAGATTTTATTCTACATGAAACGGCAAATCAAAAACGTAGAAATGAAATATTTTGATGCTGCGTGTCATTTTTTCTTTAGTCGATTTCAAAATTTATCGAATGTACTTAAAAACTGGCCCATTTTAGGCTGAATAGTTATTAATCTTAACGAGAGATTATTCTGTATGTAAAAATAAGTAGCATAAAATATAAATAAAAATCTATAATCTAAAATAAAATATTTGCATAGAATGGTACGCATGCATTAAGGAAAATTTTTAACTGAACACATGCGAATCTTATTTTTTTATAAACAAAATTCCAAATGCAAAAATTTTATTTTATATCTTTGACGTATTTTATGCATAAAACAACTAAGCGCGTTAACAAAAATATTCGCAGTTCCAAGGCGCAATTAAATTAGGGTTTAGGAAGAAAAGTTTAGAAAGAAGCGAAAGTACTTTGTGGACTTCAAAATAGTTTTTGACGGGATGAATCACACAGTACTATGGAAGAAGCTGTACAGGTGCGATTTGAAAAAAACAACAAATTGTAGTTTTAATATGAATTTTAATCCTTCCTTAACGAAGACTAATAAATATAAATTCTTTTAATGCTTTACATCTGCTATGATAAGTAACACGTTTACTAAAGATTGAGAAGAAAATCGTGAGTCACAGAATTAACAAGTGACGTAGAACAGCATATATAGACGAAGGATACAAGGAAACAGCGAAAGAAACAGAAATATTATTGTTTGCAAATGATTTAATAATCACAATCTCAAACACTCTGCAGGACAAAATGTATTGGAAATTTATTGTAAGAACAATAAAATAGAGGTAAACGCACAAAACTATCAAATTTTAGAAGAAAGGGAGAAGAGAATATAAGAAATCAATTCTCTCTCTATATCTAGGAGTGTTTTTTGCATCATCTGTAACCATAAAATATTTCCCAATTAAGGCAAAAATAATAGCAATGGAAATAATTTGAAATATTCTATTAGCAGCAAAAATGAATGGCTGAAAAACAACTGTAATGCGGACTACATTATTCAAAGCAACAGTAAATGACATATTCCCATATAAAGTTGAAATAGGATTAGGCTTAGCAGAAGAAATAGAACTATTACAAAAAGACTGCTATAAATAATTGTTCAAACAATACCAAGAATACAATACCGAAAACAATATTATATGGCCAGAAATAAAACAAGAAATGTGCAAGAGAATATTAAACCACTGGGGAAAAATAACAAGAACATAGATAAGAAGACCAAAAATCCAATACAGAAAATTGATAACAACGGTAATAACAACAAGAAAATAGGAAAACGAACCAAGAATACAACTCGTACACAAAACTCAGAGGAATAGTAGAAAAATTACGCAATAAGAAATAGAACCTAACATAGAGAATATAATAGAAATAATAGAAAAGGAAAATAAAAAAATAGAAAGAGGAGAAAACTTAACATGCAATATAATATATAAGAGACTGAAAGAAGAAAGTATCTAAAGTATATAATACCACTAACTAAGATTACCAGGGAAAGATAATACACCGGGGAAGCAAACAATACAAAAAGAAGAAATATAGTTTGCAACGCATACAGAGAAAAGGATTTAAACCCCATAATAAGTGTCATACTAAAATCGCCTTATGCCAGTGACTAATCAAAACAGAAACAATGGAACAGGCCCTTGCAATAAAAACCGAGAAAGATAAAAAAGAATATTTAAAAACATGCAAAAAGTCTTGAAATTAATGATTTTTGCAAGCCATGAAATAAAATTTCTGTAAGTTTGACTGGTAAAGTAACTGATATGAATAAAACGAACAACAGTATTTAAATATAATGATATAAGAACAGTACATAAAACCATGTATACACTATTCATGTACTACGCACATGTTAGATATGTGTATATAAAGTACTACTGGATAATACACATCAAAAACGTATTACTGCACACAAATCTTATATTTATTCCTAGTATGTTTATTCTTACTACACATATTAGGACTAAGCCTAGATAACAGCAAGAAATATAATAAGATTTGTAATAGATAAAAATCTAAAGTAAAAAAAAATTAATTAATCAATTAAACATGTATCTATGTATGTTCTTAATTTAATTTTATCAGCGACAAATTCACGACTAAATTAAAAATGCGACAATGTTGCATAAGCATCGAATCTCGAACAACAGATTTCTCTCTCAAATTCTGATTATTACAAATATACGAATATTATAATCTTTGAGCTCAACGATTTGCTAAAGACGTTCCACTGGAAGATCATCTCTAAGAAATCCTAAAAACTTATAGATTCACAATTCTACAAATTAGATAGTCGATGCAATTCTAAGCCCATAGATTTTTCATAAACTGTTACGCATAAAATATTGTTCATTGATAATACCACTGTACTCATTAAAATGAAATTGGAGTGGATTGCAACTGCTATCACTCGATGAAAATAACAAGAAATTTCAGAAGTGAATCGCTTCTGAAAATCACTACGCATCACAAACACATTGAAAAAGTTATGGCATGACTTCTTTTAAATATGAATACTCAGAGAATCGTATATGGTGGCTAAGAAATTTTTCTCCCTCGAAGAACAATTCTCAAAGGATTCCCCTCATTGGACATAGTACGATGAATTTATAAGAAAAAATGTTTTTTTGCAATTGGACTAAATCACGGTCCTTATTTTTATTTTTCACAATATCACATTGATAGTGATAACTCATGTCGCCGAAATCAAAGCCACTATGAATTCATTAACCAAATTATTCTCTGATTCAAACAATCTTACCCTAATTACATTCACTGATTCGCTCATCGGCCTGTTCGAACGTGATCTCACGAAAATGAAAGGCTTGCGACTCTTGGAACAGAACGTAACTCAAGCAAACAACGTCCAAGTTAGAGATTACATCCAGTGATTATGTGTATCGAGGGAAAAAACATATTCTTTCATCTCGATAGCCTCTTGAACGTATCAGAGAAATATATCTACAAGACGGAGTTGTGCGCGTAACGATAATGCATGACAACATTCGAGACATCCAAATATATAGTACCAAACAATTGTCACCATTGCTGTTCGATTAATAAATAAATATTTTAACATAATAAATAGCAAATTCAAACTAATTTACATCTTAGCTTAGACATGTCAACTTGCGTTAATTTATGATTAATTTTTATTTTCTAATCGCAAAGATAAGGATGGCGTGTTGCGTTCTGTATTAACGTTTAATTAGATTATCAGTTCGACGAATGCAATGTCCGTTCAAAGTATTTAGAATGACTTTGACTTTTATTAAGCAAAATAAAGGAAACTCTACAAAATCGAGGAAACTCTAGACTCGCACGCAATTGATTATAAAATAGTTAAGCAAGAAAGAGCAGAGAAAAAGAGAGAGTAAAACCAATCTCGATCGTAAAACAAATCAGTAATGAAACCGTGGGATAGTTCTCTTGATAATCTATCGCTCCGAAGAATTTTTATTACGGAATAAAGACGTTGCATTTATTTATTTTATTTAATCTATAAAAATTAGTTTTCATTTCTTTCCGATTCGAGTGTAATATGTATACATTTCGGAAAATCTTAATTAATTTCATTTATGAAAAACATAGAATTCTACACACACACACTCACGCATATTATATATACATTTAAATGTACACTTTTGCAAAAAAAAATGCAATTGTCGCTGAAGTCATAAAGTGATAGGAGATGTAACTTTTTTAATAAATCAGCAACATTTTGTATTTTTT